ACTAAGAAGAATATATGCAGTGTATTATTTGTTGAAACTGTACTTCCGATTTGATTTGAAACTGTCTCATTGCTATCTGTTTATCAATAAAACTGTAGAAAAAAAAAGTTCTTTAAAAAAAAGAAAAAACAAGTTTAATGATACCAATATGTAATATAACACCCATTCTTAATTTCCAGTTCTTGTTTTGAAATTCTGTACCACTTTTATGGTCTTACAGAGCTTTATTTTTGTTTCTTTCCTCTTTAAAATGGAATTTAAAAGAATTGTTAGGAATCATATGGACAAGATGGGTACACGTTGCTCGTGCATCTTAGACTCTATCTTGTGACTGTTTGGGGTATTATTCATCACCTCCACAAGCTGTCTTGCCTTATTTCTGAGAGATTATCGTCCCTGTTTTCTAGGACACGGCAGGCCAAGAAAGATACAGGACGATCACCACAGCCTACTATCGCGGTGCTATGGGATTCATTTTAATGTATGACATCACCAACGAGGAGTCTTTCAATGCTGTACAAGACTGGTAAGTTGGCACTCATCCATCACTACTGGTAGCTTTCTATTCCCCTGGTGCTTCCCAAAGCAGGGACCAAATTGCAGCGTCACACGTGTATTCATCTTTTGGTACAACCCTGTTCATCCTTCCCAAGCCAAAGAGATGATGATTCTGCTGAGAACTATTCTTAAGAGATTGCTAAAAAGTTATTTTGGTGAATTGCTTTCCTTTTCTTGATTTCTGTGGTTTGCATCCTGTCATGCTTACATCTGTGAAGACAAGTACATTGCTGTTGATTTAGAAAGGAATAAGTAATAATGTGAAAGTTTGGTGGTCTAAAATAAGAAACGAAGGCCTATGGGTCAAATCTGGCCTACTACTTGGTCTATAAATAAAGTTTTATTGGCACACAGCCAGGTTCATTTGTTTTCATAGCACTACAGCAAAGACAAGGGGCTACAACAGAAACCAATGTGGTCTATGAAGCCTACAAATCTCCTATCTGGTCACTTTACAGAAGAAATTGGTTGACTCCATGTCTAAAAGATTTATTAAAAAATTATTCAAGTTGAAAACTTAAAGGATTGGGATGAAGGGAAAAGCCAAATCTAAGCCTGTTCTGACTCACAGCTGTGTCAAAGTACGGGACAAGACCTCTTCCATAATGAGCGTGATCTGCGTTGGGTGGAGGGGAGCTTATGCTGCAGCTGTGGCTTCCTTCATCCTGTCCCCCAGCGCCTTGGCCGAGGATAGAAGAGCCGGGTGAATAGTCATGAAGCCATGAGGTCCAGCTGCAGGGCTCTGGAGGAAGCTTTCCTACGGAAATAGCGAGACTCTGTCTCAGGCATTGCACAACATTAGGAGAGAAACAGTAACGATCAGGACTGGTGACGCATTTTTTTCTCTAAATAGTCACAGCCCATCTTATGTAAGCAGGCATCGGATGGCAATCTATAGGCAAAGCAAACAGCGTTGTTTCTTGTTTTCTATAGCCGTATTATCTAAAACAACCTTCTATCTCCATAGCATCAACTCTAGAAGGGTCAGATGTATTTAATTCTTCCCTTCAATTGCTAATTGCTCATCTAGGGAGACATAATGTATGAAATTATACCATTGACAATAGTAACTCAAAAAAGAAGTAAACTATAGACTGAAGAGGATAGGTTCAGAATCTATATGAAAAATAATTACCTGTCACAGGGAGACAGAGAAGAGAGCTTAAGTAAACTTCCTTCTGGTAAGCTGAATACCGTATTGTAAAAATGCCAGTTCTCTTCCAATTAATGCATAAATTCAAGCAATCTTAATTAAATGCCAAACGATTTGACACAAAATTGAAAGAAAGAGAAAGTCAAGAGATATGGAGATTTAGTTCATGATTCAATTAGCATCCCAATTAACATTAAAAGTGATTGTTCAGGCAATAGTGTTATAGCCAGTTAGCGGCCACACACAGATGTGGCACTTATATTTTCAGGCAAAATGGTAACTTTAACCTTGACTCTTCACCTTGTGGGAATGTTAACACCAGGGTTTTTGGGCAGGAAGTGTTCATGAATGAGGCATCAGATCCCATGGCTGCGAAGGAAGGATATTGACACCTGTAGCTTTCTTGCCCTGTTTCAATGAAAGCTATTTGACCAGTGGGAATAGAAACGAGGCTCTCTCGAGGTCAATAAAACCAGCCTGCAGTAATCCTGGGAGCCACGCCCACTGGTGCCCCGAGCCACGCCCATTGCCCCCCCCCCCGCCATAGCATCAAACAGGACCCAGAAATGCACAGCTTCATTCTGCCTCCTCGCCCTGGTCCTCTGAAGCGCAGGCAGTCTGGCTTCCGCTCACCAACATCTGCCCCTCATTATGTGTCAGCGAATCAAGTGCCCCATCTCAACTTCTCTCCAGCTCAAATTCTCAATTTTACTCTTTCTTTTTGAAGCTCTGACTCTTCATTTTGAAAGGTGCATTTTTCTAGACAATTTTTCTCTCTCTTGAGCACTCCTCTTCCTCCTCCCACGTGTTACCTCCTCCTCCTCTAGCTGAGGCAAGTGAGGCTCCCGTGACATTTTAGTGACAGTGCTTTGTGACTTTGGCTGTCTGTCCACTCCCACTGCTTTCAGCAGGTGGCTCCCAAATGCCTGTGAACTGTTACATGGCATCTGCAGGTGCCTAAAATATTTCTCTACCTGGTTACCCTGCTGGTTCCTCAAAACCTGTTTTCTTTACCAGAAACTGCTCATTTTCCTGCCATTGTTATTTCTGTCGATTGCAGTGAAGTAGTCCATTGCCCAGCACGTAGTGTGAATCCAGGCCTCCCAGCCATCCCAGTATGGAAAAGCTCACGCGTACTCATTTTTGCTGAAAATCTTCTGAATCTAGTTTTGCCCTTCACTCCTGTCTGATCTTCTCAGCTTCTGCCTTTCTTGGAGCCCTGTAACTGACCCGTGCTTAGGATTGCCTTCTGTGCTGCTCCGTCTGATGCCACTGCTGTTCAGAGATTCTTCCCAAAGAAGACAATAGTGAAGGCCAATGCCCAAAACTCAGCTGTACCTTACATTTCCTCCTGAACCAATTTTAAAATTCAGAAACACGCTTCGTGGTGGCACTACATCTTCATGGCTTCATTTCTCACTATTCTAGAGGCGAACGGGAACATTCGTTGTTTCTGGAACCCAGACCAAACTTTCCAAATTCCGAGATATGTTTTCCTTTAATGCCACCTTCAGCTTTGCATTCATTGTTCTACCATCTCCTACTCCACTTATCCCAGACATCTAAGTTTGCTGAAAATCAGTAAATCCTGTGCCGCTAGTCAACATTAACATCTTATTATTTTCACCCACAATTGTACGATAATTGCTTGATAGTTCTTTTAAAGTTATTCAACACAGATTTGTGGAACACCTACTCTTTGACAGCTAATTTTCTAGACACTGTGCTTAGTGCCTTGACAGCACTGATTGTCATGGTGGCTAAATCGTCACCCAGTTCTCAGAGCAAGGGTCAATTTCTCCCTTTCACTCATTGGATCGCATCAACCACCAGGTCCGCTCATTTTGACTTTCTGCGTGCCTCTCGGATCTGTTGCTCTCCTTTCTCCTTATTGCCACTAGGTCCAGCGTGTCATTTAGTGACCTTGTACCTTCAAACAGCTATACCTTGGGTCTCAATTACTTTGAAACCTCAAATTTGGTACTCAAGGCATTTTATTTATTTATTTGTGTGTGTGTGTGTGTGTGTGTGGCCAGCTTAGCCCACCAGGGGGCGGGGCTGTTTGGCATGTGGTGCTGGGGGATTGAACCGCGGTCCATGTGCTTTGCTAAGCTTGTTCAAAGTAGGTGTTTTAGACCACTGAGCCATCTCCCCAGGCCTCAGTGCATTTTTATGTGAGGGTTGCTGATGCTCGTCATTGATTGGCACCAGTCACTCAAGCTAGAATGCGCCAGTGCCAATTGGCTGTGGGCTCATATCCTTCCTAGCTAAAGTGATTTGTTTGGTCCTCATCATTTCTGGCACTCAGTGTACCTCACAGAACCAATTGAAATCAGCACGAAGATACCACTGTAAGAATTTTACCAATGTCTCATGACCTAGGATAGTAATCCAGGAAGTAAATGTGAATCACTGTGGAGGTTCAGCCACGTATGAGAGCCAAGGCTTCACATGGGTCTGACTAAATGAAATCTTCCTTGAGATTATGGGCATATGTATTCTTACAAAACTCCTCGAGTGGCTTTGAATCCCATTTCTTGCTTGGACTATTGATTTAGAAGAAATCCCCACTTTCTCGTGGTGGACAGTATACCGCAGTGCATCAGCTTCATGGACATCTTCTCCTACCCCTCTCCTGCACTGGCTCTATGTTTTGACCAGCTACAACTTTGCTCAAGAAAAACAAGCAGAGACACATGCAGAAGAGCATAGTACAATGGGTTAATAGTATTTAATAGTCATCGTGAACTCACCAGGCCTACAATCTGCCAAACAAGTGGACAGCAAAGGCTTAAATAAAAGAGCCAAGTGGCATGATTTTAGGACTCTACAAGATTCAGAACCCTCTAACAGAATTGTAGATTCTCAGGGGAGCTAAGACAAAGAACTTCTCTGGGAGGCCTGTGTTTATTTTCAAACAAATGAGGGGGATACTGAAGAAAACATGAGAATCTGAGTGGAATCTCAGTAGGACCTTGGGAGAAGTTTTCCCAAGTAGTAAATTATGTCAATCAAGAAAACTACCTTATCTTTAGGTTAACATTTACTGTAAGAGTGTGGAGCCTTCAGCTACAGTCTCCCGCTAGTTAACTGGTATTGGAGCCCGGCTTCCTCAGCTGTGGCCCTAGACAAGGGGCCTAGGCCTTGAACAGACTCACAAGTAAACTTGGAAAGCCAGTTGGTGAATATTAAATCCTGCTCAGAGCCACTTTGTAGGGTCTCTATCACAAATATTCCATAAGTTACTAGTCTCTAAGCGAAGTCCATCTTCTACCTGGAATCTTCAGCTACCATTCCAAATTTTTACTCACTTTCTAAGCTCAGCTCAGTTGTCAAACTCTTCCATGAAGCTATAGAAAACACCTCTACTCACTCCCAGACTGCATCTCTGTTCACAGGGGCCAGTGCTGTTCACGCCTTCATCTGTGTCCCAGCACTACCACAGTGCCTTCTGCAGACCACATAAAGAACCCAGCACACACACACACACACACACACACACACACACACACACTTTATTACATTGGTCTCATAATCAGATTGTGCATCCATCAATCATTTTCTGCAGTACTGAAATCAATGCAACCTAGTCTTTTTTTTTTTTTCTACTATTTATTGTATGAAATTTGCCATCTGAACCATTTTCCAGTGTGTAGTTCAGGGGTATATTACAGCATCACTCCCTGGAAACAGGGAGGAGGAGGCTTGGGTGCTGATGTTTATGGGAAAGGACAATAGACAGAGCAAGCTGAGGGAGGCTTTCAGTGCTCTTTGAATTTGGCTGAAATTTAATGAAATGTGTGTAATTATGGCCA